GGTGCAGACTTTACTCCACACAAAAATGCATACACAAAGCTACATGAATCTCACCAGATCACACTACTCAGAACCAAATCGACCATATCTGAATTAACAAAAAGTTCAGAAGGACCATGGAGGACGTGAGAACCAACAGATAAGTTGATATAACCTCAATTCACCACTTGCTAGCCGGCAAAATGGAACTGAAACTCAGGAAACACTGGGCAAAGAGGCGGACAACATCACAAAATTTTAATATCGCATTTCTTTGGAATTCTGGAAAGTTCAACGAATTTAAAATGGCCCTCAGCAATAGGTTCCAGGCTTACCACGATCTACTCAATGGAGAGGAAACAACCTTGGAGAACAATTGGAAGGGGATCAAGGAGACAATCACTTTAACAAGTCACGAGGTTCTGTGCCACAACAAGTACCACCACTAAGGATTCAATCTCTGTTGGTACTCTTGATAAAATTCATGGAGGAACAAAATGGCAGCAATCAAAATCAGCCGAACAAGAGCGGAAAGAGCCAAGGCACAAGCTGAATACACAGAAACAAACAGGAAAGTCAAAAACAGCATCAGAGACGATAAACGAAAATATATGGGAGATCTAGCAATGAAGGTGCAAAAGGCTGCAAGAGAAGGAAACTTGAAACAATCGTACAATACAACAAAAAAGCTCTCTGGAAGCTATCGTAAACCAGAACGACCAGTGAAAAGCAAGGAAGGCAAAGTAATCAACAACAGTGAAGAACAGCGAAATGGGTGGGTAGAGTACCTTAAAGAACTCTTGAATCGACCAGCCCCACCGAACCCACAAAACATCGAAGCAGCATCCACGGACCTCCCAATCGATGATGGCCCACCAAAAATTTAAGCGATCAGTATAGCCATCAGACAAACCAAGCGAGGCAAAGCAGAAGGATCAGACAACATTCCAGATGGGGCTATGAAAACAGACATGGCAGCAACTGCAAAATTATTTCACATTCTCCTCAACAAAATTTGGGATGAAGAACAAGTACCAACAGAGTGAACAGGAGAATACCTCATCAAAACACCAAAGAAAGGCGATCTCAACAAGTGTGAGAACTACACAGGCATCACTCTTCTCTCAATACCAGACAAAGTCTTCAGCAGGGTGTTGTTAAAATCAGGATGAAAGACTATGTAGATGCCAACTTCGAGATCAATAGGCCGTATTTTGTAAGGATCGATCGTGTACTGACCAAAATGCAACATTACGTATCATTGTGGAACAATCATTTGAATAGAACACACCACTCTATATCAACTTCATTGACTGCGAAAAAGCATTTGATAGCTAGGACACGACACCACTATGGAGGCTTCTTCGACACTACGACGTGCCTGAGAACAAAGTCAACATCATACAAAATTCTTATGATGGATTAAACTGCAAGGTCGTACACGGAGGACAGCTGACAAACTCATTTGAGGTGAAGACCGGTGTCATGTAACATTGCTTACTCTCACCCTTTCTCTTTCTCCTGGTGATCAACTAGATTATGAAGACGTCAACATCTAGAGGGAAGCACTGTGAACAGTGGACAGCCAAGATGCAGATGGACGATCTGAACTTCGCAGATCACCTGGCTCTTCTGTCGCCAACCAAATCAGTCTTGATGGACACGCCTCAGATGACGTTAACACCTTTACATATCCATCCAGGCAGCATCATCGACAATCAAGGTGAATCCGGTGCAGAAGTGAGGGTGCGGATCAGTAAAGCAAAGGATGCATTCCTTCAATTGAACATCTGAAACTCAAAACAACTGTCAACAAACTCCAAAGTCACAATTTTCATTACAAATGTTAAGACAGTTTACTGTATGGGGTGAAAACTTAGAAAACTAACAAAGCCATCATCCAGAAGATATAAGTATTCATTAAAAGATGTCTGCGACAAGTACTTCAGATCCGTTGGCCAGACACCATCAGCAACAAGGTACTGTGGGAGAGAACAAACGAGATTCCAGAGGTGGAGGAAATCAGGAAGAAGCGGTGGAAGTGGATAGGTCAGTCAGTCAGTCAGTTGCAACGTAGAACTTCGTACGTATGTACATAAGTTCATGTTGCCATACCACATTATTAGCACAGAGACGCAAATGTCAAATCAAATCCCATAGTGATAAAGATAGTAAAGGTATTAATGTTATAATAAAGAAGACTAGGGTTTAAGATATTATTCAAAAAATATAATTCAGTGAGATAAGGTTAGAAAGACAAAGGTAGAGGTGCTGGCTAATCCAGAAGATTAGGGTTTGAGAGAGCTCAAAGAGTGGATGAAAAATATGAGAGGAATGAACAAACATTGGACAGAACTGGAGAGGGAAGCCCAGGACAGAGTTGGTTGGAGAAAACTGGTGGGCGGCCTATGCTCCATTGGGGGTAACAGGCGAAAGTAAGTAAAGTAAGTAAATGCACAGTGAGATGAGATGGAATCCACTACATGATACTTCATCATTTATTATTCCATAGCAATAGTTATGGATACACATTTAATTTGGTAAACACCAAAATGCTAGGTGAAATAAAATCTAAGAAGTTTAAAGAATTCCTGAAAGTATTTCACGCTGAACGGAGAAGTTCATCAGACAGTTCCTAGTATATCTGGGTGATCAGCTGATATTGAATGGTCGTTTTATCTTACCTGGCTATCTTGCTTCATTAGCTAGAAATTAAAATATTCTATTCAGTGAAGAGAGTATATTTAAAAGAACCCTGTAAATAATTAAGCGTTTATTCAGACCTGTTCAATTTCTCATATTTACTAATGAAAGACGTTTGACTTCATTTAAAATTTATTCGAAAGTATGACTGAAATAACTGTACTTTGCAGACTACTGAACAAAGCCCGCGAACGGAGAATGTCAGGCACCCCGTCTCTGTTCCGATTGGCCGGATCACTTAGGACCGCCTGACCCATGGACAACCACTGTTCCTATGCAACCCTTCTCCACCTGAGCCTTCAAGGTTCTCATTTGAAATAATAAATCAATAGATGAAGTAGTGAAACTTCATCAGTTTAGGTTGTTAGGACATGCGTTACGTATGGTTAACCACCGACTGCTTCGACGATCTATGTTTTGTGGTGTAGGAGTAGGTTGCGTGAAGGCTAGGGGAGGCCAAACGTGGCACAAATCCATGAAGTCACTGACTAGTGGACTGAGTCATATTGGTAGATGTAGGCTCCCTGGTTGGGGTCCGCGAGACGATAGTCACCGATGGTTAGAGACCTTGAACGACGTGGCTCAGAATCGTTTGCAATGGCGCAGGTGCATCCAGTCTTTGTGTTCTGTGAAATTCTAACCTTCTGAATTTCTCATAATCTCTATCTTTCTCCTTCTAAATTTATCTTACTGAATTATACTTCTCGAATCATATCTTCGCTCCCTAATCTTCTCCATTACTGCTAATACTTCTATTATTGCTATCACTCTTGGATTTGAACTGACAGTTGCGTCTCTGTGCTGATGTGGTATGACAACCTGAACTGATGTACTTATGTACGAAGTTCTGCGTTGTATCTGTCTATCTGTCTTTCAGACTGAGATAACAGCCTGCATTGATCAAAGATTATTTATTCTTTATTCATCGAGAAATCTCTTCATATTAAAAACACTTTATGCAGTTCTTATCATTGTAGTGAAC